TGTTGCTATGCATAGGTATTTTATTTTTTGGTACATAAGAAAAGTTAATCAGTTTCTTATATTATGAACAGGAAGGAGTAGCATTTTTTTGGCTATGCATAGGTATTTTATTTCTTGGTATGTGAGAATATTTAACCAATTTTTTATATTACGAATAAGAAAAAATAGTTTTTTTTAATTACAAAACAAACTAATGAGAGCCTTTGTCGTTCGCCTTGAGGTTCCCAATCAAAAATAAATCCAAGCAATGCAATATAGTGCAAAACTTGAGTCGTTTCACTTTGAGGAGACTTTATTTGAAATCCTAAGCAAACTAAGTATCAAAAATAAAGAATTGACTTGAAAAGGGATTGATTTTCTTTTTAACTGACTAATTGGCAAAATTTAAAAGGATGCAAAATAAGTAAATAATTTTTGGATTTTTAGTTTATAAAATGGATATGAATAAAATAAGAAAAGTGAGTAAACAAGTGACAGCAAATGGAAAAGCAATCCTCTAGCATAATGATTAAGGCTATCATTACTTCAATTAATTTGGGAGTTAGCTAAATTCAAAAAACTCTAAGGGCTACCCCTTAGACTCGGTTTAATTATAATAATCAACACCAAGCCACCTTGTATATTAATTATTCACAATTAAACTGTTTTAGCACAATTAGCTAAAAAGAAAATCAAAGAAAAGCAATTAACATTTTTAGTCCAATAACCAAGCCACCTTGAATTACCACTGAATGTTCACAATAATTTTAAAACATAGTCAGACCCAGTACAATGTAAAGAAATTAAAGCTAATCACAACATAATGTTAAATGCTAATCAAAGATTCCAACAACTACAACCAATCTCAATACAAATATAAACCATCACAGCCCATTCAAACATTATAAAATTCATTCTAAGACCTAGAAATCATAATTATAATGAAAGAAGTAAAGATTGGAAGAGTTGAAACTCCCCTTTGAAGCTCTAAGTTCAAGCCATAGCCATTGCTCTAGAGAATTGGAGGGCTTAGCTACTCTTAACTATCACAATCACAGCTCCAACAAACCAATTCGGTTCAGTCATGAAGAACAAAGAAGATGAATGCTGGGGTGTGATTTCGCTGTGGAAGCTCACGCTGAATCCTCTTCCCTCACGCCGCTAGTTCGCTCCTTTGTATTTGTGCCTCTCGCCTCTATTTTTAATGCTCGCCTCTCTCTCTGCGTCTTTTTTTTCTTTCTTTTTCCTCTGCCGCCAGCCCGTGTGCGCGTCCCATGAAGATGATAATAGTAGGTTATTAGAGGGGGGCAAAACGTTGTGTTTTGCTCCCCTTTTTTGTAATTATTATTTTTTATTATTTTTTTCTTTTTCTTTCTTTGTTTTTTAATTTTAATTTTTAAATTTCCAAAAACCTGCAAACAAAATTTAAGGATAAGGTAGCATTAATTGTCCTTAAAAATTAATTAATCATAATTAAACCAAAATATGACAATTTTGCTCCTAAAAATTAATAATTCAAAATAAAATATATTAAATCAATTAACAATCAATTAAGACAAAAAAGAACCAATTAAGTTGACAAAACCCATATAAAAGATATCAAAATATATAAAAATAATTGAGTTTGTCACAAACTAAAGGGTTGCAGCAGCCAAAAAAAGGGCCCCAACTATCCAGGCATCGACATGAAAATTAGAGGCCCATCGTGCACAACAATAGAAACACAGCCCAAACATAAGGAACTGAAACAACAAACCTAAAGAATTCCCATAGGGGGGCCCGTAACACTGCAAGTTTGAAAGAATGACAAAGCTATTTTTTCTTGCTATTCACAACTTCCATTTAGGTATTTAGGTATTGATTACATTTTATAAACTATTAACAACTTCATTTAACAAGCAGTAAGATCAATCTTGCAGAGTCATTCACAGCTTCTGTTTATATATTGACCACATTTCATTAGTTGCTAACAACTTTCGTATAGTAAGTAATAATGTCGCTCTTTTATGTCATTCTATTAGCTATTACAAATCAAAAAATTGTCAATACTTTATTACCAAAAAATATTTGTAATTTGTCACTAATTCAGTTAGTGATGAAAAAAAAATTCTCATCGGCAATTTGTCAGTAATTTCATTTATAAATGAAGATTCCATCGTTAAATTTTCCATAATCACATTTTTTTGGGAGCAAATTTGTCCTAGAAGTTTAAATCATAGCAATATTGCCCCCCATTGTTAAAAATGTTAACGGTCAACATAAGTTTTTTAAGTGTAGAGAAAAATATTGCTACAATTTTAAACTTTCCAAACAAATTTGCTTCCAAAAAAGGTTATGGGTACCCAACACTCTGAGTGAAAACTTTTGATGTAAATTTGCACCTCAACCCCATTTTTGTTGTAGTGAGACTTTGTATGATGGATGTAAATATGTGTAGTTTCTAGTTGTCACTACTTCTGGTCCTTAATGTAAGACCTCATTTGACTTTTATTTTGGTCCTAAATATAAGATCTCAGTCCATTTTGTCTCTCATATTTATTCATTTTTTCTCAAGATAGTCATTGTAATAATGATAGTTTTAACTAATACACTTGACTAGTAAGTATATTTTGGGAAAGACAACACCTATTTATTACAAATAACTCACTTAACTAGTTTTCTTAATTTACTCAAATTAGTTAGTTAGCTCTTATATTAAGGATCGGATGTAGTTTTTGTTAGGTTCTTTAGTTAAATCATAGCAACTCGAAGCGGGGGATTTGCAGAGACTTTGGAAGATTGAAAACCAAAAGAGGATGAGGAAGATGAATGGACCAGAGGCATAGCAAGTTTGAGAATGAAGAAGGAAAGAAAACGGCTTGAGAAATCCAATGCAAGGCTCTCAAGCAGGGATGGTGCCTAGGTCTTTGTCGGTGAAGGATGAAGATGATGTTGACGTGGAAGATAGAGACGAAAAAATTTCGCTGTTTAACAAGTGGTGAAATTGATCAAAATTTAAAATAATAAGGGTAAAATTGCACCATATAAGTGCACTTAAAAAATAAGATCAGGATACTGGATGTAACTTTAATCTTCAAATAATTTGAAGTGAGATAAATGAGTGGAGGAGGAGAGACAGCATTTATGAGGACAATGGAATCTGTTTTTTATAGGAAAAATTATAAATAAAGACCTTTCAATAGGTAAAATTACAATTTGGGACTCTTGATTTGAAAAATAGCAAATAAGGACCCGGTCTCACTTTTGCAAATATGAAATCATGTTGAAATGTCTGAAATGCCCATCAGCCAAATGACAAGTTGACTATGGGAACTGACAAGTTCACTTTAGCAAATGACAATTTCAGTAGACCAAATTACAACTTGACTGAGGGGCATTTTAGGCATTATATTTCACCCATATTTCATATTTGCAGAAGTAGAACCCTGTCCTTAATTGCTATTTTCCAATTTTAGAGTCCCAAATCACAAGTTTACATATTAGAGGGTCTTTAGTTGTAATTTTCCTTTCTGATATGTAATTAGATGGGATCTTTGTTTTTTTATATATAATTATTTGTTGGCATAACACTTACAGTCTTTGTTTTTGTCTACTCTCTCTTTGGTTCTGATTGGTATGCATGGGGGGTTGGGGTCGCTGCACGGAAAGCTTTGCTTTAACCGCTGTCGCGACTTCCCTTGCCCTGAGGTGTATGTCTCCGATGACGACAAAGACGATGGAAGATTATTTGCAGCCACTCACTCCGTCTCTCTCTCACCAAAGGCTCTGTTTGGTTCAACATGGAGGTTATGAACTTCGTTAATTAGTAAGTGGGGAGGAGAGCAAATTATAAGTTGACAAATATTTTTTTTAGTGTATAAGATACAAATAACTGTAGATTAAAAAGTTGGTTAACATTAGTTTAAGACAATCAATATGTAAAAAAAAATATATAATTTATTTGCCAGAAACATTCTTTGTTTACGAAAAAGGTGGGTGGGAGTGCAAGAGAAAATGAATGGAAAAAAATACAAGAGAAAATGAGTAAAAAGAAGATAGATGCCAAACACGTAATTAATTGAGGATAAAAATGAAAAAAATGCCTTAAATATTTAGAGAAAATTTGGATTAAAATTAATAAGAACAAATCCACCATTCAAAGAATTGTAGCTTATTAAAAGTAACATAGGGTGTAATATTTATATCAAAGTTATCATTTTCGAATTTCTAATCTCAAAAACCTATTGCCCCATTTATACAATACTATCTCTTCCAATCCTTAATATAAGACCTAGTTGACTTATTTAAATAGATTAAGAAAATTATTAAATTACTTAATTATATTATATGTTATATGATTTCTCTAAAATATTTACATGTATCATTAGATTATATATATATATATTAATTTATAAGTGAGACAAAGTAGTTTGAAGAAAAATGATAAATATGAATACTTTAAAAATAATTTATCAACTTCCTTAATTTCTCCAAATAAGTTAACTGGATCTTATATTAAAGACGGAAAGAAGTAATATAATAATGTTATTGATTACCATCCCACTTCTTCTCTCCGTCTCTCTGCATGTTCTTCTTCCCCTCCCTTAATTGTAAAATTAAACGTGAAATTTAAAATTTGATAAAACAGCCTGATGAAACTTGAACAAAGTTTTAAGAAAATCTGTCATTCCAAATTCACAACAAATTAATGGAAGTTAATTAAATTTTAACGATATTGTGTTATACACGAAACTTTGACAGCTTTAATGTATGACATCCAGGATACAAGTAAATTTTAAACATTTGAGATGTTGCAATCTCCGTCGTTTTCGGCATGTGAAAGCACGAGAACTGGTAGCTTGGCGTCATAGCAATTATTGTGGAAGTGGGGATACTGTACATCGTCATGCGCAGAATCTGCCAAAACCTCCCGTGTTTCACGTTTGCTCCTCCTTACTGGGGTTATCTCTCTCTATATATACATATGGAATAAAGCTATGCCAGAACCATGCAAAATACGAACTCTTGATATCCATCACACAATGAGTTCACATGCTACCAAAATGCTCCTCCTTTTCTTTGTTTGGTATGCTTCAATCTGTCTCACTTCTGGTATGTCTGATGAGTATTCCATTCGGAATATAGGTCTAGACAAGTTCACCTTTGAGAAAGAAGTCTTCCACCTATTCCAAATGTGGAAGAAAGAGACTCAACGAGAATGCCAAACCCTAGAAGAGGAGGTACATATATTTCATGTTTTCAAAAGCAATTTGAAGTACATCAGAGAGAAAAATGCAGAAAGGAAGTCACCCGGTGACTACAGTTTGGACCTGAACAAATTTTCTGATATGAGTTATGAAGAGTTCAGCAAAATCTACTTACATGAGACTGAGGAACCCATGATAGAAAGCAACAGTAGCAGAATAGTATTGAACGACATAGCCTGTCCCACCGCACCTTCTTCATTCGATTGGAGAACCGAAGGAGCTGTAACCTACGTTAAAAACCAAAACCCATGTGGTAAGTCTAAATTCACATTTTTTTCCTTTTGCTTTTGCATTATCAACTAACTGTGTCATATGACATATGCTTAATAGCAAATAAAATTCATGTTTATGGACACTTGTTGGGCATTCTCTGCAACTCGAGCTATGGAAGGAATAAATAAAATAGTCTCAGGACAGCTTCTGGCTCTTTCTGAACAGCAACTCATATCCTGCGATCAGAAATGCACAGGTTGCAAGGGAGGTGGGTGGTACGCTTACGCATTTCAATATGTCATCAACAATAATGGTATTGCATCAGAAAAAGATTATCCATGTACGGCTGACAACAGTGTTTGCAATAACGCATTGGTTAGTGTTTATACCTGTGTTAACTAATTGAGTTGTTTATATATATCTATTTCTTTAACTTTTATTTTATTTTGACGTAGGCACAAAAGAAATCCGCTACTATTGATGGCTACAAGTATTGGTATCACAACCCTGTGTCCGAAAGTTCTCTCCGTTGCTTAGTTTTCAAGCAACCTGTTAGTGTTTCCCTATTTGCAAGCCGAGATTTTCAGTCTTATAATGGTGTAAGTAATATTTTCATTAACTGATCATCCAACAAGACATATTTGTAAAGTAATTAATAATTGTTTCCCTAACTTTTACAGGGAATTTTTAGGGGAAATGATTGCTCAGGAATCGGTTAATGCACACATAACCATGCTGTATTAATCGTCGGATACGGTTCATTAGGTGATGGTCAAGATTATTGGATTGTCAAAAACTCATGGGGATCTACCTAGGGACAACGTGGTTACATCTTTATCAAAAGAAACACAGGTACTGCTCCGGGAGTTTGTAACATAAATTGTTCTGGTGCATGCCCAACCACAAACACATATGCTTCGAAGCTTGCTGCTTCCATCTGAAGCACAAGCTTCAGCAATAATATACAGTTGTATGAAGTGCCCCAGTTATGCGTTGTACTATGGTTGTATTGGCCATAAATAAATGGCAAACCATTTGCCGTGGAATAAAGCCTAGCAACCCATTGTGGTATGAAGCACACTAGTTATGTGTTGTAGTACGTATGTGTTGGGTATAAAGCAATGTGTTGTATTATGCATGTATTGGGTATCAATAAATGTGTTGTATTAAGTATGTATTGGGCATCAATAAATGGCAAACGATTTGCTACAAATAAAGCTTATGTGTGGTTAGTTAAGAATAAAAGCTCTACATACACACAAGGACACCCCATACCCTTGCAACTTCATAACGTAAATCCCCAAAGCAAAATTGAGTTTTGTCTTTAAATGGATTGATTTAAAAAATTACTAAAATTGTAACCCAAATACTCATCTGGTTTTATTTATAAAGCACTTCCAACATATTTCACACAGACCAAGAAAAATTTTAAACTGCATTAATTTTTTTATTAAAATATAACAACTTTTTAACTTTATCCGTATTTATTATATACACCTTTCAAAGAAAAACTATCTATCCTATAATAAATAAAGGACAAAATAGTATTTTTTTGCTAAAAATTTCATGAAGTAACTTATAAATAGGACCAATAAAAACTTTCTCTCCATGCCTTATTAATAGGACAAGCAGAGTAAACGTTTGAGATAAAATGGAATTAAAGAGATAAAAATGACAAAATAAAGTAGGGTGACATATGAAATTAATTTCCTCGTTCCGCTTTGCTGTTAATAGTAGTCTAAGACTCTAATTTTCCTACAAGCATCTTGTGAATCACTAATGTTTAATAGGCACTCCCTTTGAATTAATTCCTAATTTCTTTTACTATTGATCAAGAGACAGAACCAATAATGAATCTTTAGATAATCGTGAGGTTTATAGGTATCTTCCTCTATCCTACTAGTATATAATATTGAGCTACTATTATTGAATTGGGATAGCAGTGAAACCTTATAATGGAGTATGTTGTAAAAACTCTGTATTATAATAATAATAATAATAAATACATGTTAACGAAGACCATCATATTTATGGCATGGAATGGAATCTTTTGTTTGTGTGTGTGTGTAAATTATTTGTAGTTGTTCCACCGTTTGTTTAATTAGCAAGGCAGCACTCAAGGCTCCAAGTTTTCGTCCTCAAACTTAATGTCTTTTCAAGCAATAAAGCTTATGTATGTTTAATTAAGAAAGAAACCTCTATATATTTATACTTCATCTTCTGATCTTCATACTAAATTAGGGTTATTTGTTGTGCTGAGAGATGTGAAGAAGTAAGTAATCCCCAAACAAAAAACTTGAGTTTTTCTTAGTGTGGATTAATAGTTTCTAAATACTGAAATTTAATCCAAATGATAAATCTTAACAAGCTCGGCGCAAAATTGAGCTCTATAGGGGTTGAATAACAATTAAACAGTATGTTGTAATGATAAATGTGCTTACAAAAGACCAACAAATTGTTGGTTAAGGTAGTATCGACCTCACCCTCTTAAAAAAAAAAAAAAACACAAGTCAAATTATAAAATAAGTGTTGGGAAGGTTATTCCTTCCCCCCAAGTATTATAGTACTCACCACTGAAACTAGCTTAGTTTACGTTTATAGCATGGGATGGAATCTTTATATATAAATATTTTTTTAAAAAGATGTTATTAAAATCGACTCAGATTATTACAAATGTGTCTCATACAATTCAAGCATTTAGGTTTTATATATAGACCACTCCCATTAATTTGCACCTGAGATGTTTCATGGCTTACATGGAGAGATTTTCTGAAAGGGATTTAAGCTTTTGAAAAGGTTTCATAGAAGAATTTGACTAGAGTTTCCTTCCCTTTTTCTTACTCCATGAGTAGTGGCATCAAGGGAACTTTAAAAAAAAAAAAATTTTGGCCTTCTCCCTATATATGAACTTCAGCCACGCCAGTAAAAGAGGGAAGTAATTTATTTCAGTGAGAATATATAGGCAAAGGGGAAAGGTGGGGCGAAAAATGGGTGAAATGAAGATTTGTCAACCATTTTTGTGAGTGTTCGAAGCCACAAAAATAAACTTCTACTCTCAAAATAGTTTTTTCAGCATATAAGAGGCTAGCCAAATTATTTAACCCAAAAATAATAGAAGAAAATAGGAAAGGGGAATTTTCATGATAAATTAAAGGGAAACTTAATCATTGGATCCCCATAATTTTGATTCATTTGTAAGACAGTCCCTACACTTTGACTCTGTAACACCTTATCTTTCCATAACAATAGGGTTATTCTGAATAACGTCGAACCATTAAAAGTCAGGTTTCATCCTGGGAATTCTTTTTCTTTTGAAAACATTTTCCAAACACATGGTTCAATCTTGTTTAGGAAATCAGATTTTCTGAAAAAATTCAAACTTTTCAAACTTACTTTCAGTGAAGCCTATCTAGTAATTCAAGTACTTAATTTAACCTTTTTATAAAACTGGTAAAATTATCTCAAGACCCAAGCTCTAACATTGTCAAAGCCCCATACTTAGCAAATAAGTCAACACAAAAATTCTTCTACCTAAGCAACTTCTCTATATCCCTGGGCACTATGCATGCACTTGCCCTTGCATAATAAGATAAGTAAATATAATTAGCTATTATTATGTCTACTTTACCACCATACAACCATCAAAGCAGATAGCACTCACCTGCTAGCTACAATAGCCATTACTTTCCTCTTTACAGCCCGCATTCTCTTTACATAATTACATATATTTCTATACAAAATTATAGCCATACATGGCTACCAAATACTATAAGTATAAAACAACAAAATAATATTTATATAATAACAGCTAAAAACTTTTTTTGGAGTCTCTCCCTTCAGATCTTCCCTATAAGCCTACCTTTCCTTTGGGGAACTTGCTCTTACTATTGATAAATGAGAGAAAACGAGGTGAGATTTAGTGGAATCAATAGCAAAACATCAACTCAATATATATAGAGCTGGGAAAACAAGCTGAGCCGGCCCTGCAAGGCTAGTGGGTTTAAAAGAGCCGGCCCTACGGGGCCAAATTTTTAAAAATACCCAATTTGCTAGGCTCGACCCTTAAGCAGATGGGCTCAAGGCCGACCCACAGGCTTTCAGCCCGTGTTTTTAAAAAAATTCATTTTTCATATTTCTCACATGTTTTATCAAAAAATAAAAATAAACTAATAAAATCACTAGCAGCTGCGTGGCCAGCTGGTGCGATTGCCGATGAGAGTGACTTGAGTTTGCTTTTTAAATAAAAGGTAACATTATAAATTACCAACATTTTAACATTTCATTTTAGCCTTGCTGGCTTATTTGCAATTTTGCAAATTCAAGTACACTTTTGGGATTTTTAAAATTCAAATGTCAATTTTTTAGCATTTTCCTACTCTATTTGTATTCCCAGCTTGTTTGAGGAAAAATTACTCCCTTGGCAGCAATTTTTTTTGGGAAGAATTACAATAAATTTCTAAGAAAAAAATTATTACAAAATAAGTCCTAGAAGTTATTATATCTACTCTGAAATTTTGTTATTACAGGTTGCTTAGGTTGTTATTAGGACTTTGTAGTAATTATTTTCCTTACTTATGATCTCATTATAATTCTCCCTTTTTTGGCCAAATTTTCACATCGGACCTGATATATGTAAATTTTAGACATTTGAGGCATTGCAATCTCCATCATTTTTGGTGTGTGAAAGCGGGAGAACACAAGAGAGGAATATTTCTACTAACTTTTCTCTCCACTTCCTCTTCACTTTATCTTCACCATCAGATCAACTCTCAATAATTAGATTTAATATGCTATAAAAATATTATTATTATATTAAATACAAATTATATATAAAAAATTCAAATATTTAAAAAATTGATTTGAATAGTTTAAAATTGCAATAAATAAATAAAATTTTAAATTTTAAAGTTCAATCGGAATAGTTCACAAGGGTAAATTTTTATAAATTTTTATTATAATATTTTTTTTACTTTTTATTCTATGTAAATCTGAATTGTTCGAATTCAATGTTAAATATTTAATTTTATTTATAGAGATTTTATTTAATAAAAAACATTAAATCCAATTACATTAAATAATAATCCAATGATAGATATAATGAGTGAAGAGGAAGGTGAGTGATAGAGCATTATTGGGGAAGTGGGGACACTAGCTTCTGTGCAGAAGCAGCCAGAACCAACCGTCTTTCAGGTTTTCCCGTCCTTTAGTCCCCAAATTTGTATCAAATTGCCATAAGATTAGAATAAATAATCAAATATTTATCACTATTTTTTCCCCAATCTTTATCTATTGAAAAAGATGGAATACAAGACTCCCGTAGGAAAATTGTTCAATTCTCATCCGTTGGTTAATGCCTTTATTTGTAAATTATGTGGCCACGCGTTGTAATACAAGCAATGTAGTTAGTACGAGACTGTCCACATCTATTATCATTTATCGACAAACGTGGAATGGAAAGGCACACTTTTCCTCACTAATTAAATATAATAAACAATAATCCTTCCTACTTTTTACATTTTCCTCACTTTATTCAGTCTTTTGATATAAAATTCATTTGCAGTATAAATTACAATATAAAATGAATCTTATATTAAGAACTGAAAGTATTATTATTATTTTTATGATGTAAGAACCTATTAGATTTTAGACTGGTATGTTACAACTAGAGTGATATACTCTAATACTTTTCTCCTTCTCCATAATACTCTCAATTCAGGTC